GACGGTGATCTCGTACGCCGGCATTGTAACTGGTCCACACAACTCGGTCATCCCGTAACCTTGACCCACCTTGGCACCAATACGTTTAAAGACAGCCTCCTCTACCTCCGTCCCCATAGGAGCTCCACCTGCGCCGATGTATTTGAGACAGGACAGGTCATATTTGTCCACAATCGGGTGTTTGGCGAAGAATTGGACGATGGGCGGCGCCACAAACACGTTCCACACTTTGTACTTGACGATGGCACCGAGGTATTCATCCGGCATAAATTTTGGTAGAACGATCGTTCCCCAGCCAATTTTATACGCCATGTGGAACAACAACATGGTCATGATGTGGAAGAACGGTAGCACCGTCACCGTGTACTCCATGTCTTGCTCCGAATGACTGGACATGATAGCACCAGCGACTAGTGCACGTCCAGTCAGAAGTACACCTTTTGGTCGAGCGGTGGTACCACTAGAGAAAGGCATGGCGACGATGTCTTCCGGATCCACTGGCGGCAAGTTCGGGAACGGAATATCCATCGCCAACATGTCCCTGCAATGAGGAGTAGTAGAATGTTACTATAGCTGTCAAAGGAGTAGTACTGTGACAAATACGCACTCAATCGACATCAGCTTGACGGAGGTATCGGCGTGTCCAATAGTGTAGACTCGGTTCATTTCGATTTCGCTGGTCGTCGCAGCTTTGACAGCTATGTCCACCAACTTGGCGTTCGTGATGAGCGCAACGGACTACAAATATGGTTACGTTAATAGGGCGATGAGACATATTTGATACGATATATATTGTACCTCTGAGTGCTTTACTTGATCAGCGAGCTCGTCTTCGTTAAACATAGGCGACGCTGTGGCGCACACGGCACCGAGACGCGTGAGCGCTAGAAAGATAACCGGGTATTCCACGCAGTTAAACGAGTGAAGTGTCACAACCTAGAACAACAAATACACAAAACTTTAGAGTTTGAATCACTGTTCTAAGCGTCGGAGGCTGCTTACATCTCCCTTCTTGATGCCCGCGGCAGCCAACGCAGCACAAATCTTCCGAGCGTGATCATGAACGTCCGCGAACGTTAGTCTTCGGTTGGTGATGGCACAGATATAGGCCGGTTTGTTTGGGATATTGACAGCATGGTCCTCGACCCAGTCCCAAGCACTCTTGCCCTTGGGGATAGGAATGATGCCGTGCGGTGACGAGAAGACCATTTCGGTGGTCGGATGGATACCAGTAGGTGCCGTGAAGACGTCGAGTCAAAAGCGGAAATGAACATGTTGCGTGTGGTATCCTCCAAGCTTTCATGACCAAGGATGCCGTAGTGCATGCAGGCCGATTGCTGAGGTCAAACACACGTGCAGAGAGGTACTGTACTCATTGAAACAGCATTTCCATCGACTGCTTGTCAAGGTGCCCGGGACTCGTCTGACGTGGCCATCCAGCTCGTGCGCGGTCGTGACCTCCCAGATTGCATAGCCACGTTAATCTTGCTCTTCCTGGTGGCCAGCAGTGGCACCAAGCTGTCCCCCTACTTGTGACTCTAGAATTGGCCGAAATTTATTTACGAAAATAAAGTTAGGGTCTAATACAATTTTCGAGTTCTCGAAAACACTTCGATTATGGAAACCTCGATAAATTTATAAACTCGTTCGAACCGTCCACGTCGGGGAGCAAATTTACTCTGCAGTGAGTTTTATTAAAGCTTGTAGCCAGCGAGAGCTTGACACTTACTGATATGTTATACTTGCACGTGCACGAAGGACAGGCTACTACATGTAGTATTACTGGCGAATCGCCAGTAATACTATGCTAGTCTAATGCTACTAAGCGCTATATCGCCAGTGGCGATATAGCGCTTAGTAGCATTAGACAGATTGGAATGAAAGGGCGCGGTCGAGGAAAGAATATCATTCTTCATGAGATAATTTACCGACGCCTGGAGATGGTTCTAATGAGCTTGCTTGGCAGCAATAATATCGTCTAGAGCCGCCTAAATCCAGGCTGAGATATTTGTTGCTCTGGCCATTAACTGGAAAGTGTCATTTCAAATTTCAGATCTACTTTGTGCAAGACGCGGCTTCGTCTTTCCTGCCCTCATTTATTGCTTGACACTATTGGTTTCTCATAGAGTAACTGGCTGGGTTTCGCTTTCGTGTGGAATATTTACAGCTAATTACGCTTGATCCTGTCTTCAACCACCTCAGTAAAGCTTGCTGAATCTTCTTATCTCGCAGGCTTTCGTCGAAAGGGCATGGCAAGCTCTTCTTCTATAATGCTTGTATTTCTCCCCAGTATACAGGAGCATGTGAGGTGTGAAAAATCGACAGGATTCAACCGCAGTTTTGATCCGGTTTAAATAGCTAGCTTTGCTGTTAGCGTGGGGATAGCAATCAGGATATAGCAGGATCAAAGCCTGCAGCAATAAATAGCATTTAAAATATCGATAAGTCTCCCTTCTTGATTTGCCAACATTTCTGTAGCTTGGCGAGGAAGCTCCGTGATCGTGTGGGCCAGCGCATCAACGACGGCTTTTTGCTTACAATTATAGTCCTCGCTTGATGATACTAGCTAGGACACCGAAGAACTTGTGTAAAGCATACTTGTATGCAACAGCAAATGTTAAAGCGTTTCAAGAATACCGCTGGCGTCGACTACATCGACCTCAAGGATTTCCTCATAGACGGCTTCGAATCGATCTCGCTGCCGCCCTCCTTTTATCCTGTTCAAGCTGCAGCTTGTGTCGTAGTATTTTTCCCGACAGACTCTTCGGAATGGCGTCGATGAACTCCACTTCGCGTACACGCTTAAAACCCGCCACTTTGGACGCTACGAACGTCATCAACGCACCAGATGTAAGCGGTTCATCGCCAGTGAACTGACGCACCACGAAGACTTTCGGGATCTCGTCACCCGTGTCCAAGTCAATTCCTCGGACACAACACGAATCGGCTACTTGAGGGTGCGAGTTTACGACGTCCTCGATCTCAGCAGGGGCAACTTGATGCCCCTTATACTTGATCAACTCCTTTAGTCGTTCAACAATGAAGATGTATCCATCTTTATCGATGTAGCCAACATCACCAGTGCGAATGAAGCCATCATCGGTGAAAGCTTCTTGAGTAGCTTCGACGTTGTTAAAGTACCCTTTTTCATCGCCCCATCAACAGCTCTCCACGCTGGTGTACAGGCAAATCGACGTCTGTTTCTAGACATCGCACTCGAAGTTCCGTGTTGGGAAGCAGCTCGCCAGACGAGCCTTTGCGAAATTCTTTTCGAGAGGAATGAGTAGCAGAGCCCGCAAGTTCCGTCATGCCGTAACTTTGCAGAGCTGGGAGTCCAAGTCGGTTGTTAACAGTGTCAACGAGCTCGTCTTCTAAAGGTGCAGCTCCTGATGCCAGTCGGTTCAACGAGGACAGATCGTATTTGTCTACAAGCGGGTGTTTCGCTAAAAATTGGATGATCGGTGGGACGACATAGACCGTATCAAGTTTGAAGTCCTCGATAACGCGTAATAAACTCCCAGGCTCGAAACGTGGCAACACGATCATTGCCATCTGCTTGAAGATCGTCACGTGGAAGATCATAGTTGCCGCGATGTGGAAAAATGGCAACACTGCGAGGATGTAGTCTGCATCCACGTCAAGTGCAGCTACGCGAGCCCCACAAGCGTACATGGATCGAGCTGTGAGCTCCACAGCCTTCGGACGACCAGTAGTACCACTTGAGAAAGGTAGCAACACGACGTCGTCTGAGTTGATACTCGGTAGACTTGGGAACGGCAGGTTCAAAGCAGCCAAACCTCTACAAATCGATAAAAAAAAGTTTAGTTGGGAACGGTAGTGAAGTGGTGTTCACTTACTCGATAGATTGTTTCCCCGAGAGCCCCTTTGATGTGTCCAAGTGTGAACATCCTATTGAATGGGATACCAGCGCTTCCTGCAGCTTGTGTAGCCATCTTAGCGAACGCCACGTGCGAGATCACTGCAGATGCCTGACATGAAGAATTAATGGCTACATTGTTGTGAGTGAAGACATGACAATCGTACTTTTGAAGCGCGGATTTGGTCTGCGAGCTCGTCACTATTGAATTGTGGCGACGACGGCGAGCAAATTGCACCCAAGCGGTTCAACGCCAAAAAGACGATGGGGTACTTTAAGCAGCTGAACGAGTGCAAGATCACGACCTGCAACAGCATAGCGGTTAGTAGTAGTTTAGTTTAAGTACGACATGTATGAACAGAGAGCTTACGTCGCCCTTCTTGATGTCGCTCACAAAGAGCCCAGCACAAATGCATTGAGCCAAGTTGAACACGTGAGCAAAAGACAGCGTTCTCCCGGACATCTTACAGACAAGTGCAGGTTTGTCTCCATGCTCACGTGCATGTTGCTCTAGTTTGTTCCAGATTGCAGCATCGTCTGGGATCGAGACGTCCGGGTACGGCGACTTGAAGATGATGGACATCGTAGGCGAATTCACTAGTCGTGACGAAGAAGTTTTAGCTCGTGGCAAATTGAAAAGTGAGTTGGAGTGTGTCGGTGGTAATCCTATGCTGGATAATCAAGGGTCTAGATTATCAAAAACAAATTTAAGGAATTGGCTTCAAGATTCGAAACGACTAGGATGACACCAGTGTTGCTTATAAAGTATGTGGTTCATTTATTTTAAGACGCAACTCGCTTAATTGCCACTTACAGACGACTTTGCACCGCCTTGATCTTTTCGTTCTGACGGATCTGCAGCTCACGACGGAGGATTTTACCTGACAGACTCTTGGGGATGACGTCGATGAACTCCACTTCACGCACTCGTTTGTAGCCCGTGACTTTTCCTGCCACGTATTCCATGAGTTCTTTCTCACTTAATTTTTCACCCTCCTTCAGCACCACGAATGCCTTGGGGATTTCCTCCCCCCAAGCAGGGTCGAAACCTCGAACACAACCAGAGTCCGCAACTTTTGGGTGGGAGTTGACCACGTCCTCCACCTCTGCGGGTGCCACTTGGTGTCCCTTATATTTGATCAACTCTTTGAGTCGATCAACAATGAAGATGTAGCCATCTTTATCAATGTACCCAACATCTCCAGTGCGGACGAAGCCATCTGCAGTAAACGTAACCTTGTTAGCCTCGGGGTTCTTGAAGTAACCCTTCATCAGCGCGGGGGTACGGAATAGCAGCTCTCCAGTTTCGTTCACACCCAGATCTTCATCCGTCTCCAAGTGCTTCACCTTCAACTCCGTGTTCGGATGTAGCGTACCAGAAGCGCCATCACGGTAGATAGTCGGGTACGAGCTCGAAGCACACCCAGCGAACTCCGTCATACCGTAACCTTGCAGCACTTGGATCCCCAGTCGTTGCATGACTGCGTGCTCCACCTCCTTACCCAAAGGTGCTCCTCCTGAGCCCACGTGAGTCACGTGCGAGAGGTCGTATTTGTCAATAATCGGGTGTTTAGCCAAAAACGTAATAAGAGGCGGAGCGAGGTTCAACTTCGTAATTTTGTACTTGGCTACAGTACGCAGGAAAGTTTCAGGGTCGAACCCGGGCAACACGACCATGGTTGCGCCTTTGTAGATGGTGACATGGAAGATCATTGTAGCCATAATGTGGAAGAACGGCAACATCCCCAACACGTACTCGACATCATCTTCACGGTACGCCGGTAGGATGCCACACGCGTACATTGCACGTGCCGTCAGCTCCACCCCCTTAGGACGGCCGGTAGTACCGCTAGAGAACGGTAGTGTCACCACTTGGTTGGTATTAATTGGAGGGAGGCTCGGGAATGGCAAGTTCTGGGCAATAAGCCCTTCAATAGACTTGAGTCCTGTAGGCCCTCCAGCTTGACCGAGGGTGTACACTTGCGAGAGTGGCATACGACGTAGTCCCGCGGCCTCCACTGCCCCTTTGGCGAATTTCTGGTGCGAAATGACTGCAACCGCTTCAGCGATCTCGATCTGGTCAGCCAATTCCTTGCCATTGAAAAGTGGCGAGGACGGAGACACAATGGCTCCAAGGCGGTTGAGTGCAAGAAAGACCACAACGTACTCGAGGCAGTTGAAAGAGTGCAAGATGACGACGTCGCCCTTCTTGAAGCCATTGGCAGCGAGTCCTGCGCACACTTTTTTCGACTGTTCAAGTAGCTCCGCAAATGTGAGCGACTTTTCTGTGATGCCACAGACGAAGGCTTTCTTGCTGCCGATGGAGCGTGCGTGACTCTCGACCACCTTCCAGATGGAAGCGTCGTCCGGAATGGGGAGCGTGGGGTGGCGCGAGCGGAAGATCATGGAGCGAGGACGCAAATGCAGAAATGACACGTTGGTTTACCAAGCAGAGATGTTAAACCAAAGGCACATGGGATTGGCTGAAAAGCAGAGAAAAGGGATAACTTCAACCTGAGCAGGTGTCGACTCAACGTCTTTGAATTTGGACCCCGTGGTTGATGCTGTAGCAGCGTCATGAGTCATGACTCGTACCCATATTTGTCTTGATGTACATATATTGTACTACACGTTGTCTGGCTCAGAAGCTATTCCAGTGATGCTGTGGCGAATGATGCCGATTTACAGTTAGTATGAGCTACTACAGAAGCCGCTGTATGACTATATTACACGTAGAGCTACATCTTGAGATTGACTTGTCATCACTATCCTGATACGTTATACCGAATCATCAAGCACTGGGCGACGGTAATTTTTTTGCGGGGCGTACTTGGCCGCTCAAACTGTTGTAAGTCGAGCGACTGGTAAAATTACTTTCACGTGCAGCGGTAGCGGTAGGATATTAATAAAAAAATATACGGTTTTACTATTGCATTAATATACTGGGACCTTCAGAAAATGACGCAAAGCACAAATCAATAGGCATTTGCGTGCATTTGTGACGATATTTGCGATTCAAATCTCTAAAAGAAAATCACACAAATTTGCTACCAGCTTGCCTGGCTGCGGGAGCTCGAGCCGCAGTAAATACTGCGTTTGCGACAAAATAAGCTACGCCATAACGCCGCTGAAGGAAGATTTTGTTTCTGCATCTACTTAGAAGTAGCTTTAGGGAATGAAAATATCTAACTGTGTCAAGCTTACATGATCCGGTGCGACAAAATATCTACGAAGAAGGGCTTTATGACAACAATGTAGCGGTGGTGTTGCTGCCACCTGCTTCGTTCGGGGTACTTCTTGCCAAGTTTTCCAATAACTACACGGTTAAGTGGTGTCCCGGTCAGCGTGGCCGCCCTCCTAAACTACGCTTTCTACAAGCCCAAACACGTACAGCGTCTCAGGCGTGGTCCACCCCCTTCCTCGGACCATTGCAATGTTTGTTGTTGTGATGTAACTACAACTATGTCGGCGCGGCGCGCGGTATGCTGTCCATTTTTATTTGGTTAGGACGTCGTCATTTGTTTATGTGATGTCGCAATATGCAGAGACTCCAAAACGGTTTCTGCAAAATGCGAGCGATTTAGTGCGACCTACACTGTAACGGGCCAGGTATTTACTCCGTTACTTGCTTACACTATAGTGTTGAGGAAGCTCGCAATAGGACGACTGAGTCTGAGGTTTAAGGAAAAATCAACTCTGACTTTATTTTAGGACCAAGGCCACAGCCCTGGCCACTCAAATACACGTCATAGTCCAATTGGCTAATAATGGGTCTGGCTCCCCATATATCAGCCAATGGCATGACAGCATTTCAGCACACGCTAGTCGTGTGCTGATGCACCTACTTTTGTAAAGAAATCTACCTACTTATGTAATGGAGGGGCCCATTACATTACCCCCCTCTTAAAGTTGCACTTACGCAACATAAGCAGTGGGCGAAGAACAAATCAATCTGCGTGAGGATGGCGAACGGGGACTTGGCTAACGGGCGGAGCGAAACAGAGACGGAGACATCTCCTGCGAAGCGCAGGAGCGACATAACTCGACTTGCGGAGAAGACGACGAACAGCACGATGGATCAACAGCGGACGGGGACACCGACGACGGCGACGTCGTCGACCGCAGCGGCACGGGGCACGCGCGTGATGGACGACCAGCTCCGGGCATGGGCTCTCTACGATATATCCGGAGCGCGGGCTCCGGACACGCTGGACACGATGAAGGATCACTTCCGGCGCTTCCGTGGCGTCAGAAGCCTGTCGAGGGTGTCGCATATGGCGCATTGCAGGAGTCGTGGTGCGCCTTCATCCGGCGTTGGAACCGGACGCAGGAAGAAGGGGAGAGCTTCGTCGGCTGGCTGGTGTATCGCGAGGAGATCGTCAAGGAGCACTCGCTCACGGAGCTCCGTGAGCGCGTCGCACCAGCGCATGGGAGGACATGCGCGCATCTGCTACGTGAGGGTCGCTGAAGGTTGTGGCACTTGTACTGGGTCGCGTCCGACTGTCGAGGAGTGGAGAAGCCACATCGCAGAGTATCCGCTCGGTGGACAAGAACACGGGTGGATCGAGAAGTATCGTCGCTCGTGGGCCGAGAACGTGCGCGCCTCTAATCGCGCCGGCTCACGCCGACGCCCTGCATGTGAAGATTCTTGGCATCGGACTCGGTCCCGTTCACGTGGTCGACCAAGTCATTGGTCTCGATCACGTTCGCGTGATCGCTCGAGTCGCTCTCCTCGTGCGAGCTGGCATGTGTCACAAGGTGGTTTGCAGCGAGGCTGGACTCATACGCCTGGACCACATTCGGGACGTCCCGAAGGAGATTGGCGCGAGGCTCCCACGTATCCTCGTCGGGAGGAAACCCGAGCCAACGTACCCGATAGCGACGGTCGGCTGGAACATCGTGGGCGAGCCCACGATGACGTTTGGGAGCGCGAAGTGACTCTTCGTGGGCAACGATGTACTCAACAATCCAGCGGGTATCTCCGGCAGCGTCAACAACAGGAGGAGGGCCGTCGCGTCGATAGCACTCGCGCTCTGGCTGCCCAGAGCGAGAACGACTTGCTGAACAGCTACTGGGATGTCCAGCAGGAGTTGGATGAGGCTCTCGATCAGACTGCCCGGGCCACCGGGGAGAGTGCGCAGCTGCGTCAGTCGAACCGAGAGATCCTTGCTCGGTTGCAGATGCTGGAGAGGTCGGTTCACGGACGTTTGCAGACGGGGACGCAGCCTCGAGATCCGACTCCTGGTGCGGATGGGTCGATGGCTCGCCGCGCCCGTCGAGAAGGTCGCTCGACGCATGCTCCGGCTCAGTAGCCTGAGACGACTCTGGAATCGTAGCGGGGTGATACTTCTTGAGCCGTCCGACGTAAAACGTCGGATGCAGACGTAGTGACGTAGGAATGTCAAGCGTGTAGGCATCACCAATGGCTTTGATTACCGTAAATGGCCTAATAAAGCGCGGCGCGAGTTTGTTCGCGCCGAGGTTGGTAACCGCAGAGTTTCTGATACCTTCAGTCGACAGGAGCACGCGTTCGCCTGTCGTAAACGTGGCCGTGTTCTTGCGGCCGATCCTATCGGCGTTCTCCTTCTGCTTGTCCACTGCATCCTGCAGTGCGTCTCGAACATAGCGGGTGACCGCTTGGCGCTGTAGTACGAAGTCGGAGACGACTGCGGAGTCGATTGGTCGCGCCGCATGCTTCGGCGCGTAGTTAGCTGGCGCAAGTGAGCTCGATGCGGAGCGTGTCACTGCGTTGACCGACGTGGGAACAGGGGATACACTCGAGATATCATTAGCAACCGGTGTATGTACCGGTTGACCCAGTACCGGTGTAGCCGCCGGAGACATCGCAGATGGAGTAGACGGCTTGTCGGCAGCTTCTTCCCCACCCAGAATGGAGACACGCGGCGCTGTGGGATGGCCCACGGCGAGGAGAGCAGGGACACGCGGGTGTCGCGCGTTATTAACGAAGAAGGGCGTCAGCCCAGTCGACGCGTGTACCGCGTTGTTCAGAGCGAACTCGGCCAGTGGCAGAAACGAGCTCCAGCTGGAGAACGACGTCGCGTAGCTTCGAAGGACGTCTTCGAGGACGCGATTTACGCGCTCCGTCTGGCCGTCCGTTTCCGGATGGGCTGCTGTGGACATCATTAGCTTCGAGCCCAGTAGCTCGAAGAGCTTTGACCAGAAGGCCGACGTGAAGCGCGGGTCGCGGTCGGAGACGATAGATTCGGGAAGGCCATGATGACGGAAGACAGCATCGAGGAAGTGCACCGCGGTATCTGCCGCGGTGATCGCATCCGACACCGGAATCAGGTGAACCATCTGGCTGAAGCGGTCTACGAATACCAAGACACCTGATCGTCCTTTAGCATCGGGTGGGAGCCCGAAGATGAAGTCCATCGACACCGAGCGCCAGGCCTCGGTGGCCACTGGTAGAGGACGCAAGGGAGCCTGCGAAGACGAGGCAGGTTTCATGCGCTGGCAGGTCTCGCAGATGCGCACCCACTTACGCACCCATTTGTACAGGTGTGGCCAATAAAAGTCGCGTGACACAGCGGCAAATGTCTTCTCGCGACCGAGATGAGCGCCCAGCGGGGCATCATGAAACTCATGGATAATCCGTGAGCGCAGATCGGGGTCGTTAGGGACAACGACACGTGAGGCATCGAAGTTGTCGATGCTGTACGCCAGCAGCTCGTCCTCGAGACAATATCGGTGGATTTTGTTTCGTACAGAGCGGGAAAGGGCTCCCAGTGTGTCGGCGCTGGGAGAGCGGAGATGCTTCAGGATACTGGAGCACGTCGAGTCATGTTCGTAAGCAGCTCGGATCTCGTCGCGAAGTGGCATTACCGGGGAGACGCTCGTCAGGATGACGCCTGACGCCTCGCACGTGGCACACTCGTCTACATCGTCTTCATCCAGCGAAGCTTGTCGACCCAATGCACCGCGTGGGTCGTAGTCGGGACGCCGAGACAAAGCGTCGGCGAGAATGTTGTTCTTGCCGGGTTTGTAGTGGACAACGAAGTTGTACTCGGAGAAGAACGAAAGCCAGCGGGCCATCCGCTGGGAGAGATGAGGACTCTTCATCGCTGTCCTCAGCGATGCATGATCGGTGTACACCGCGAAGGTATCCTCACCCAACAAGTACACTCTGAACTTGATCAGAGCGTAGCGCATCGCAAGGAGCTCCTTGTCGTGAACAGGGTAGTTGCGCTCCGCCGGCTTCATCTACCTAGACTGGTAGCTTACGACACGCTCTCGATCTTCTTCATCGAATTGCATCAGCGCACAGCCGATGGCGAAATCGCTCGCGTCGCAGACGACGTGAAAAGGCTTCGAGTCATCCGGGAGCGCGAGGATTGGGGCCTCGGCGAGACTCTTCTTCACCGAGTCGAAGGCGGCTTGATGTG